ATTCACAAAATTAAATCGACAAACTATCTGATTTAAAATTCTCCACCTTGACTATCTACTGCTAGTTTCTCTAATGAGTATTCTACAAAGCAGTAAAAGCTGAGGAGGGGGGAGGAGGGGGAAGAGGGGGAAGAGGAGGAAGATGAGGGGGGAAAGGAGGAAAGGGGGAAGGGAGAGGGGGGTGGGGAAGGAGGGAGGAGGGAAGAGGAGGAGGAGGAGAAGGAGGAGGAGGTGGCGGTGACAGCGGCAGAAGAAAGATGTTAAGAGCCCCAAACAAATGTAAATTCAATACTCATACAAGGGCTTTATTTGCTTCCTGTAGTCCTATAGATACTTTCACTATGGTAGCTCAGCAAGGCAAATAAATAAAATGCATCCCTGAGATAAAGTTTCTGCCACCCAGCCAGCAAGCACATCTTCAAAGAAGTGTAATTCAGAAGTAAGAAGCACACATGCCAACCAACCCCAGACTCTTGCAAAACTACATGTTTGGGATAGTCATGAAGTTAGTTCAATATATAATCTATGCAGTCAAAGAACATAAGTTAACCATAGAGCTACCATATCATTCAATATACATTTATCAAGTGTTTGTTGGGCACTGGAATGCAAAGATGAACAAGATAGCATTTCCCTAAAGACAGTGACAATTTTGCTAGAATCACACATAAATAAGATACCAAGATGCACTAGGAAAGCAGAGACCTGACAGGGAAAGGGTCTGTGAAGGTTTCATGGAAGATGCAGAATACAGCAGAAAACATTTCATGAGCAGCTCAGTGGTGGGCTATGTGGTTTAGCCAGTTATATAACCTTTCTAATACTTGGGTTCTCAATCGATGAATTGAAGGTAATAATATCTATATAGCTAAAAAGAAGGAAGGAGAAAAGAGCTCACACGTGGAAATCAGCATGGCTGCTTGAAAATACTAAGCACTTGACAAATGTACTATTATTATTACTATCATCATCTTCAACATCATCATTATTATTTAGATAGGAAAAAAATTATAAGCAATTGATGGTGTCTTGTTAGCAGTAGCCACTGTACCATGGGTCTCACCACACCTTACTGGGTTGGTGTGAATGGTTTTTAGTCTGAATTAATAGTTTGACTGGGGGACGCCTACCAGTACCACTAGGAAGGCTAGCCAAAGCAATGTGGTTACAAGAGTGACCAAATTTAAAAGTGTTTGACTTTCTGTAAGGTCAGAGTTTACTGAAGACAAGAATGCCAATGTTATTACACAAGTATGTGAAATAGCATGTGTACAAAAGCAAACACAAGGAAATATTTCCTACAGTAGCAAATATTAGTATACCTGAGTAACACATTACCACTAACTGAAATAATATGAAATAGGAAAACAATGTAAAAGTCTAAGAACATGCACACACACACACACACACACACACACACACACACACCCCACACAGAGTGCATATATAATACAGGCTATAGGAAGTATCATAGGATAGTGAAGGAATAAAAGACTGGATATGTAATGAAAAAGTACCTTAAGGGCCCCAAATGTCATGCATAAGAGCTTATCTTTAGCCTGTAGGCAATGGAGAAGCACTAGCAGACTTGAAGTAAAATACTTTTAACCTATTGTTCTATTGCTTCTATTATCATATGCAAATCTAATACAGTATTACTTATACTCATAGCTATGTTTCTTCATTTTCAAGGTGTTCCCATTGTATTTATGCTTGCAACATCTCTGTCAGTTGTATCATTAAAATGAATTCTGCATTTTTTAAGGCAATGGTAAACTAAAAATAGGGATTGTAGATGTTCCCAAAAAGACTTTATTACTTATCTGCCTGCCACTGATAAAGAGTTCTTCCTTTGGTTCAGGGTGAATTATTCAATACCTAGTATATGAATTGTCAAACACAATGTTAAATTATTGATAAAACTTTTAGTACACCCTGTGTCTAGTGTAATATGCATCTTCTATTACTATGGTGATTTAATAAAATGTATTCAACTGATCTATTTTTTCATATACTTTTAAATAGTACAATAGAAACTTTGGAATTTTCCTTTAAATAATTTCCCTCTAAATTCATATATATCTAAATTCATATACTTCCCTCTAAATACAATATCTGGTAAAGGGTTTTAAAAAAAAAAATCTCAAGAGTCAGATGGATGTGAAGTGAGTAGAATGGAGGAGGGAAAACAGCCCAGTGAAGTGCTCTCTAATTAAAGTCTGCCATGTGAAGCGTCTCCCAGAATCACAAGAAGGCTGAGTCCAACTGATATAGTTCTCAAGAAATGCTCACTCTGAGGGTATTAACCCATCAAAGCAGTTATTTCAAGAGTGGGTTCCTTTTATCCCTACAGCTAAAAACAAAACAAAAACAAACAAAACAAAACCACCACCTTCATTCACTGTTGTTATTTTTTCTATTTTTATCTCTGATCTTCCCCCTTTTTTCTTTTTCTTACTGGTGAACTCTCTCCAGCACTCTTTAGGTAAGTGAAGTAAATTTCTGTAGAGTGGCCTAAGCACAGTGAGAGGAAAATGAAGAAGGACAATGTATTTCTGGGCACAGGACTGAGGATTACCAGATTTGGACTCGGTTCCCTAAGTGTCCTTTTGGACACTGGGAGCCATGTAAGCCATCTGGAGCCCAGTTACCTTCCCTATGATATAGAAATGTTTTTGAAATGCAGCCAACTCTAGGATCTGCCATCTAGAGCAGGATGAGAAGAACCACTAAGGTGTGGAGGCTTTGTTACACTGGTAACAGGCTAAGCACTCTTACTTCCAGATGGTACCAACCCTTTGTTTGTTTCTTCCCTCCATTCTGTCTTTTGGGGATGGCTTTTCCCCCCAGGTGTGGTACAATAGCCTGCCTGCATCATTCCTTGCTTATAAAGTGCAGGCTATGAAGGTAAACTCACACCCTTAAAGCTTACTTCATCATCCTTTGCTGCTGCTTAAGGGCAGGGTATAAAGACTTCAAAGCTTATGGAGGGGGCTACAATTTAGTTTATGGAAAAGGCTTTCCCTTTATTTACTCGTATGCTCACTAAACACTATTGTGTGGGGTAGATCAAATGGATATGACAATGCCTTTTCCTCAAGAAGATGATAAAGGAGGAAAGAAAGTTAACACTACATATTCTAAAGCAAAGATTTAAAAAATATAACGTGACAAGAGAAACTTGTTATCATACTATGATCTACAAATTAAACATCTGGTGTTTTCCAGATAAAGTGAAATGCTATATTTAGCTTCTTCTGCTGATTCTTAGAAGTTCTTCTGGAACATTTACTGGAAGGTTAACAATGCCGCCACCACTTTGGGTGCAAAGCACTAGAATTTGCTATGAACATAGCTTTAGCTGTTGCAATGTTTCAATCAATTAAAATACTGAATTTATTCCAAGAAGTACATGGTCACCTCTGAAACAATATGTGATTTTTTTTTTAATCTTTGCATTTACTCTGCATCTGAACTTCACTGACTTTAGCTACTATAGTTCCTGGATCTTCATCAGAATTTTCATTTAAAAAAAAACTGGCATGTTTTCATAAACTGCGTATTGGAAGGGCCCATTTCCTGTTCTAGCACACATATATCCTGTGCATTGCTGGGCCTTTGCATTGGATGCTTCATATTTAATGCAAACATAGCAAGACTGCCACAGTTCTGAGAATGTTTTATTTTCACAGAGAATTACTTGCTTTTCCAAGTGTTGAGTCGAAGTGTTAAGCAAAAGTTGACACGCCTGCAATTTATTTTAAGTAGTAAAAAATAATTATCCCACACTATCGGAGGTACCAAAGTTAACATAAATACACACACACACACTCACTCTCACTCTCACTCTCTCTCTCTCTCTCTCACTAGAAAAAAATCTAGCTAGGAAAATGTGACTAGCAAAACTGAAATTGCTTAATTAAGTAATTGTAATTAAGAATCAAATTGTTATCAACTGTGGTTAAAGAATTTCTAAAATGTTATTGAAATTAAGGTGGCTATTCAACAGAAAGCTTAAATACAGTTCCAAAATCAAAATGACAGAAATAACTATTTAAATGTTTATAGATATTTATTTGTATTTATGCAGCAAAGTTCAATGACTATATTTTTAGCTTTTGAATGTTATTTTTCTGTACAAACATAATGATAAAGACCTACCTGAATTAAAACAAAAGTGACTTGTTCCTTTACTTTACCCATGACTTTATAATGGCACCTAGATTTCAAGCCCCAAACTTTGAAGCTAGGGTAACCATTTCTCAAGTAATAATTATGGATTGTGTGCTTTTTAATTTAAATGGTTGTGGTCTCATCCATCTTCTTGCCTATTATTTATTGTGGCATCTCTCATCAGGTGCCACAGTTACTTGGATACAAATCCATTTTCTCTAGTCTGACATTTAACTACTTACACATAAACAACCTGGCCCATGAATCTAAAATGAACTGGGATTTGAGGCCTCCCTCTCCATCAGCTCCTACTGGTCAGAAGCGAATTGAGTGCAAGAGTATCAAATTCTAGGTCCCCTTAACCCTATTCTACCAATCAGCACCTCCAGAAAAAGAATGGAATGAACAGCATCCTCAAATATAAGGCACAGTCTCCTTATTAATAGGCTAAAGTAGTTTGCATAATAGAATATTAACTATTGGGTACAAAATTAACGCAACACATTAGCAGTTCTGAAACAAAGATTCAAAATGGAGAAACAATCAAATGTTGGCAAACTGAAGGACTACAAAGAAGCAATAAGAAACCATGACAAAGCAGCAGTACTAAAAAATTTCAGCAACATTAATTAATGATGAGGAAGCCAAAACAAATTTTGTACTGGCTGACAAAGGAGATTTGAAAGTCTCAATTTATTCTTGGTAATGTGGGACCCCACACAAATGTGCAAGTGGCTCTAAATGCAGCCTGTGTGGTGATCCTGCAGCTGCCCATGGTCTGTGCTGGTGGTGTCTGTGTCAGCATATAAATGGGGTGCTGTCCTTACCTCCAGATGCTCTAAGATATAGGGTGGATTTGTCATGCCAAGCCTCAGCATTGCTCCCTCGGGAATCACTTCCACTAGCTTCCACAGGAGCGTGGGAAGACTGGTGCCAATGTCTCTGCCATAGGCCCCCGTGTCTTCACTGGTCAGCCATATCTCACAAACACCCTCTGTGAATCAAAGGGGATAATTAACAAATTTGTCCCAAAGCTGTTTCCTCTATCATACAGCTGCTCACTCTTTTTAATGCAGTTATTTCTCAACAACATTATGCAGGCAGTCTGGCCATTCAATTGTAAAGGAAAAGCAGCTTAGTGGCAGAGGGTTATTAAGTTCATTTTATGAACACCAGAGAGTTACAACAATGCTGTAAATTATCAGTGTGTCATAGGAAGTGATTAACATTCACAGTCAATCAGTTCAACTGTGCTTCCCTCAAAGCACTTTGATCAAGGCTAGAGCTTCAGTCCCATCTCTGAGAATATCTATTGTAATGAATACCAAAAGTCCTGGAACTGAGCCACTCACTCTATAGAATAGGTACTGTCAGTAGTTAACTCATTAATCAGTCTGTCTCCAGCCCACGGAAAAATGTCAAGTATTGTTAAAGATTAACTCACAAATTATTAGTAGTGAGAAAGTCATCTTACATATAGAAGCTATTATAATCCTTTTTCTTTATTTAAGTAAAAACACCATTTTATTGCTGAGTTCAAAAACATTGGTGACTGCAGTATATATTATGTTGGAAACCCCATTTACTGACACAATACATCCTATTTTCCATCAAATGGGAAATGTATTTATATTTTCATTGGTCAAATCCTGTCTTCAAGTTTGCAATAACATCTTTTCAAAATACAAGAGAAAATACTTTTCAATCACCTAGTACTATTTAAAATAAATAAAACAAGAGTATGCAGGAGGCATCCAGGTTTTCCTGGTACGCATTTGGAACCTTTCTGAACCCATATTCAATTAAAGGATTAGCTCATTTTAAAAGGCCAAATGATTTGTATGACTAAAATAAATAATGAAATGAGCCTGTTCATTCTTAGTGATTTGTTGCTTCTGGAGAACTTCAGCATGCCACACAGGCGCATTAACTAAGACTTCAGCCCAAATCAAAGTGTGAGTTTCTAGAAAGTGTCTTAAAATTACAATTTTAAATTATTGTTAGTTGACAGAAGAGTTTCAAAACTACGTTTAAATTTTTTCCTTGCCAAGAGAAACAACAAATAAAACACATGGCTTTTATGTGACTGTGGTCTTCAAATCTACTGAAAGAAAAGACCAAAAAAAAGTGAAGATCTTCACTCTCTTTAATATGTTCCACAGTTAGAAGGTCTCCAATCACTATTCTTTTGTACAGAATAGGATACATTTACTTTATATATAAAAAAAAATCATCCAACCCATATAAGAACACTTTCACTTTTCCTTGCTTGTCTTTCTGAGATACACAACTCTCACCTGCACCCATACAACAAGAAAAATGAAGATAGAGTCACTGACTTAGCGATAAGAGTAGAAGATTAAAACAAAAAGAGCTAGTACAAAATTTGGAGATATTTTTAGTATTTAAAAATCAGCAATGTTATAAGTACATGGGCTTTCTTAGTTGAAATTCAATATATAGGTTCCAGAAACAATAAACCTTTGCTTAATTTTCATCATTTAATAAAAAGCTTTATCCTCTATAGAAATAGTATGGCATGTCTGTAGACCATCTTAGTCTTATAATTTTATAAACATTCTCAGTACATGGAATAAATATTTTTCTATTTAAAATGCATTACAATTATTACTGTCATCTTCATTTTTTTCTCATTGAGTTTACTGGTACATTTTAGGTATACAATAGAGTTATATTCATCATTGGGATCTTGTACCTTCACATGACAAGTTCTCATTTTAATAATATATTCTATTAGACACTGGACTTATACAGCCTTTTTAAAAAAAATTATCACAAAACCCACTCCAGGAAAAGAGATGGCTAAGTAACAACATAAACAGATTTTAAAACATTCTGAAAGAGGTTATAAAAACAGGACATTATCCATAATTTTCCAGTTACTGGCATTTGAATAACACAATATGAATATTTTTAAATGAACAGAATAATTTTAATTTATAATTTTTCCATCCAAATGGTTCCATGTTATGCCTTATGTAGAGAGAGCAAGTTCCTGGAACAGTGCCTTGCTGTTGCTAGATGAATATAGAAGGGGAAAAATCACTCTGAATAGGAATGGAAATAACATCTATGCAGAAAACAGCAGTCTGCTCTTAAAACTACAAAGGTGGGGACCAATAGCCCCCTGGTGGGCTGAAACTTCAAATTAAATCTCATGAAAAGGAAGCAGCTGGAATACTAAATCAGCAGCAAGAGGAATAACAGTCTTTATGTCTCTAAGATCAAGGCTGCTATAATTCTCTATGCAGCGACCCTGTTTGAAACACAAATGAAATGTAGAAGCTTGGGCAAAAATATGAAATTTCTGGCCTGGAGAATCTCACCTTGTCATTTTATCTAAAACAGTGTCAGAGATCTTACTGTTAATCAAGGTGACATTTTTGTAAGGTTACAACAAGAATTAATACTAATGAGAGTTGACTCTTCAATTGTGAGATAAAAGAATTATTTCATACTAAAAGGTAAAGCCAAATGTGGAATCCCCATATGTGACATCCTTTCTCCTGGGAAGGTTCATGATACCTCACATTGCAAGTGGTTCCTATCAGGAGAGACTCACACAGGAATTCACTAGGGAACTGAAGGGCTGCAGTAATCACATGGACACATAATGGGACACACGCATGTCTACATCTGCACACAACTGGCTATTCTAATGGACAGAAATGCTTGCCTAAACTGCTTCATTCCTTAGGGACTTCAGCTATAAAGCTATATTGCTTTGCATATTCATTCCTTGATTTGTACCTCATTTATTAGGCCCTTACCTACATGTGCCCTGGAGCTCTTTCGGCTTATGACATAATGGAATTTGTCATTAAACTTCTGTTACCTAAGTTTGACCATCACTCAGGTGCTGGCAAGGGAACACTGACAGACACAAGGAGAATTTCCTGAACATCCTACTGGTGGTGGAGCTGGAAAAGAATGGCCTCAGACAACAGAGAAATGAAGAAGCTCAGCTGCCCTCAAGAAGATACGTCATTTCCAATGAAAGAGCCCCAACCATGACTTCTATCAATACATGTCAGAAAAATAACTCCATGAAATGAAAAAGAGAAGCAGGAAGAACAAAGACAAATGAATGCTCATTTTAAAACTTCCTGTAAAGATACATGCAAAAAAAGAAAAGAAAGTGGTGGGTAGAAAAGTAATAGACAAAAATTAGCTTTCTTTTCCAAGACGAAATTTTAGTTTTTCCTAAAATTGTTCATATACCTATCTTTGGTTCATTTTCCCATAATTGTCCAGTCTACCTGACTTTTGTAATGTGTGCTAGATTCATCTGATCATCATCTTTCAATATTTTAATTTGTGTAAAAGAAAAAGCAAATACCAGGAAGCAATGAAATACACTGTACAGGAGAAAACCCTTTAACATTTTTAGTTATTAGAATCCATTATCATCCAAGCAACTGCAGATTAGCCTATTTATCACTGAAAAGAGTAAACTCAATAGCTGGATTTCAATCTCTGTTCCAAAGTAATTTGAAATGACAGAAAAGATGGAAAAAGTAGAAGACATAAAAAGTAAGTAATAAAAGATAGATAATATACTCAATAAAATATTCTCACAAGAAAATCTTGTTTGAAATATCAAACGCTGCCAAAACTCAGTTTCAAAAGATTATGAAAATTTTTTCTTTGTATGGACTTCACTGTAATACATTAAAATATGGTTAAAGATTGATTTTATCTGGTCAAAAAAACAGTACTTGTTTACTAGCTCTTGTTTTATCATTGAGGACAATTTCCACCATAAAGTGTTATTTCAATTACTTCATTATGAGTAGTGTTTCTAAAAAGTAAGGATTACAAAAAATACAAAAACCGTAAACAATATTAAGGGATCAAAAGTTAAAGGGCACTAGATGGAAGGGAACCCTACATCAATTAAATATTTTTTAAATAAATCACCTCACCCCAGTGTCCACATTTTCCTCCTCTTAGCTTTTGTTCTCCATTCCTGTCATTTGACCTTTCTTTCCTCTTCTCAATTTTATCCCTGATTCTTTCCCCCACCATTCTATTCCAGCCTTCATTCTTTGAGTAAGGAATGTAAATTAAACATATGCAATTTGGCATATTTATTTAATATGGATTCAATGATCTGCTTTTACTTCCTGCTGTTCTAAGGCTTACACTACATATTAATTAGATTTTATGGGCTCTTTCTTTTTAACAATTAATCTTAAGGGAGTTTAGAAACAAATATGAACTTGCATTTAAGCATTTGAAAGGTCATTAAGGTTTCTCCAATGGGAATATTTTTAAGTAATAACATACATAGACAGCCATGTGCCTGTTTAGCATAGTCATTTAATAGCAAATCACATGACTCACACAGCCTCTTTGGTCCTATTACTGAACATTCAAAATTTTCATGATTTTCTTTTACATAGAAAAGGGAGTTAAATTTATTAAAGACAGGATCATAACAGATTCAACCATCTTTTTGTATAATTAGTATATTCCAATCAACCCGTCTGTCATATAAAACAATTATTAATTAGCTAACTCACCACTTACAGGTTTATCTTACTTTACCAAACGGTTTAAAAATACTATTACTAGTCTAATTTGCTTTTCTTTTATTCCCCCTCCTCTCTCCCACTCTCTCCCTTTCTCTCTTTAGCTCTGTCTCCCCTCTCTCCATCCACAGTAGTGCAGATCAAACCCAAGACCTTGCACACACTAGGCAAGCACTACCACTGAGCTACACATTCTGTGTGAAAGGTTTCAAGAATAATCTAACAAACACTTGTACCTCCTTTAACTACATTCATTAGTAACACTGTATCATATTTGTGAGCCTTCTCTTTCCACACCAACAAACACATGTGTGTATGTATGTGTATATATATATATATATATATGTATATGTATATATATGTGTGTATATATATATGTGTGTGTATATATATATATATATTTTTTTAACTATTCAACAGATACAGATATTATGGGATT